GCATTATGAATATGGGCTCGGGTCTATTGATTTACCAAAAATGGAAAGTAGGGCAACGGGCCGTGACGTCAATAAGACAAAACATTGAAGTCTAGAAACATGTACCAAATATCAAATTCAAAAGTGAAATCATTATTCATAAGCACACCCGATATATCACGTGTGCGTTTGTCTAACAGCTCTATTTCACAATACGACCTCGAAAAATATCCATATTCTGCGGAGTGCAGTATTAATTTTTCCTTAGATAAAAATGATACGAAGCAAAACATGTTGTCCGTCATATAATTAATGGATTTTCAATAAAGAAGTCATAAAGCAGTTACACACATGTTAGCTGCAATTGAATTCGAAGCAAACAGTGAATTAGTTAAACTAGATAATAATTCCTTTCACGATACTCGTAGTTTTGATAAAAACACCATTTTCATATTATTTATATCATTTTATATTCATGGCAACAGTAGGCATATTACTTTACATAATGATAAGCCATTATCTAGAAGGAATTCAACTGTGGGAATGCAAGCAAGCCTTTCAGAAATCCGATACGACAAATTCACAAGGGAGAAATGCTCAACGAGGCTTCGTCCTGATAAATTCATGTTTGTTACATTATCCTGCTTGAGATCGACGACTTTTCAATGCAAACATTCCCTGTGGAAGATTAATATCATGTATTAGCACATCTTGTTTAGGTATACTCACGTTCTGAGACCCCCTTGGAGACGGAACAGCCCTCGGATGAAGCAGCAAGGGAACGGGGCAAGAGAGGCAGACACGGCGCCGACAAGACCCCAGATCCCAGGCAGGCGATGGATGCCCAGTCCTCACCGAAATAAAAACCACCTCGCGACGAAAATAAAGAAATAACTGGCAAACGATGTATGGCAAAGTAGAAGGGCGAGTGAAAGAGTTCAGTATGTCGTTTATAGAAGGGTATAGGATTCCTTAATGCACTTACGATGTTTCCATATAACCTGATACGTTTTTTCGGCCGACTGCGTACGGGAGAGGTTGAGCGAGTGAGCTTTGAGGTATACAAAAACAGGATGGGGTCTTACTGAAAACGCCGCTACCTTAAACACGTTTTCCGCGTATGACCGTGTGTAAGAGAATTGCTGCTCATTTGAGCATGCTCCGGCCGATAGTTTCATGGTTAAAGTGTATGTTGATTTGCACCATCTGGAAATTTGGGCTTTATATTTAGCGCGCCATTACAAAGAGGAAAATAGCTCAGGCAATGGAACGATTTGTCACGCATATTTACCAAAAACTCCAAAAGAAAGTGGGTTGGAGATTTAAATGTTACAAACATAGCAAAGAAAATCGAGTAATAAAAAACGATTCTGTAACAAGTTTATATTAATGTGTACTCACATCTTTTGTTCTATAAAACATACTAGAATCCCATGTTCAAAAGCTCATTTACATTACATGTGCATCTCATCTCAGATGTGCATTTTACGATTTCCTAGTGTGGATAGAACACTATTTAAATAGGTTATCTATGTGATACTTTAACCGGTCAAGATCTTGTTTAGATTGGCTTGTTTTCTCTTTCATCCCCCAATTATCATCTTTTCATGGCTTTTTTCATTTAACCTTTCGTCAGAAAAGGAAAAGATAATCACGAAATACGAGCTCCTTAGATTAAATTGCATGTAGCGCATCTTTCACCCATGCAGCCAGGCATTATGTGGACTCCGTAGGGAGCCATGTAATCGATAAGCCGTCATGCCTAATTTCAAGTTTTTTTCCCCTTAGATCATGTGGGTTAGTGTACGGGGTTGCTTTCGGCTTTTTCTGCCTGCTGATCTCTTTGGTAGAGATATTATTTATTACTATCATTATTGTTACTAGCATTTATTTATCACGGTTAAAGATTGAGAGGTATTACGCTCTTTGCTTGAAAGGGACGGTAACGGTAGTATGGAATATGATAGATGAATGAAACATAAGTACATGTATCACTATGCATGGTATGTACATGAAAAAACGATTTCAAGATGAGCAGGAGAAAGGAGAATAATGATGTCATGAGAGTGTAAAGATAGTTGGTTTGTTTGATTTACCTGACTGATAAGAAAGCATTTGTATGCTTGTAAGTAATCAACCAGGGAACCAACGGCTCTATTAAAAGTCCTCTCTGAGGGAGTTTGTAATGATGATGAATGCCTTACCAATGATCATTAGCGCATCGGCTTGGTTTCGAACCCTGGACCTACAAGAGTAAATCATATGGGTATAAATCCCAGAGCGATGGGGTAATTTTGTCAATATTAGTAAAAGTAACTTGTATAGGAATGTATCATACTCTGAGAGCGCCATAAATAACTTAGGTCAGATATGTTTTTCTTCTCGAAATCTCATATGTATCTCCATAAGAGTCGTGTGTGTTCGCGCGCTAAATTTCCGGCTCCTGACCGCGATCAGCCCCCCACCCCCCCCCCCCCCCCCCCCCTCATCCCTCCTTGGAGCGATTTTATGCTAATGGATAACAGTATTGTGCGAATGAATAATAATAGTATATTTGAGGGGGACAGTCGATACAACTAATTTAAATCATTCATGGAGTGTTGATATAAAGGAGATTAAATAAAAACGAAGTATCAGTAAGAGTTAGAGTCGGACTGCAAATGAATAAACGGGGATACTTGATCATGATAGAATAATCATTTTAAATGCTTTTCAATGTGTTTGGGTGGCATTTTCTAAGCTTGCATATGCTAATTCTTCCGACTTTCTAGTTTGTATTCTAGGTCTATTTTAGGCACTTTAGTGATCCTATCTCCCTTGTGAATTTTTCACAATGACGAACCATCCTAGCCTAACTGATCAACCAATTTCCAAAATTCGTATCCCATTTCGTTTCCACATTTCAAACTCCCTCGCGTATCTACAAAACAGATGATGAATTGGTGAGCGGGGAAAGGGGCAGCCCTTAGAACAGGTCACAATCAATATTGGGTCGTATGGAAAGGGGCCACAGTGCAAATACTGAATAGCAAAGCAAAGAAAGTATCTCATCTTTTTACAAATATCCCAGCCAAACAGAAAGGTCTAACTGAATCAATAAACATTGTAATTGTGGTGAATAGAATACAAAGCCATACTTAGCTTAACACCTTAAAGGACAAGTAAACACCGATGAACAACACCCTAGAGATAATCAGATAATGATGATTGTCTTCAAGTACACTTTAAGATTGAAAAGAGAGGGTGTTATTCATGGACTTCAAAAACTTGCGTGTTTCCATCCGATGCGATACCGAAGTAGTTCGAATCATTTGGTGGTCTACAGACAGGTCTATATGTAACATACGCAATTTAGAAACAAGGTTGCTTTAGAGTCTACAGTGAAAAAACGACTGCAAATATACTTGCAGTCGTTTCTTTCATTTAAACATTCTTGATTTAATGTTCTACCATGTAGAAAATTAAGTGTCATAATGGTCATGCCACGGAGACAAAGAGAGACAAACAAATAATACCGTTTGGTCGTATCTTATAAGGGGAGGACAATTTTTTCGAAATCTAATCTTGTTTTCATGCAAAATCATGTGGAGTGAATTTCTAAATAGCAGCATTTATTACAATTCTTTATTTCACAGTTTGATTGATATTAATTACAGAATTATACAAAAAAGCCGCATTTTATGCTCCCAACTAAAAGAAGAAGACACATCAGTTTTCAATTTACATATATTTTGTTTCGTCCAAATATCAGTTTTGGAGGCCGGAATTGGAGTCCCCTGACCGACTTACCTATTCCCCATCCCCATCCCTCCTCCTCGACTCCTCCCATCGGATAATTTAGGGGTTACCATACCTCTTTTGACGCTAATCCCTAAACTCTTACTTGCTGTACGTGACGATACCGGCTACTCATCAAAATTATGATACTATCATTATCGTCACCACCACCATCGTCACCACCATCATCATCATCATCATCATTATCATCATCATCATCATCGTCGTCGTCATCATCATCATCGCAACCTCCAACATCATCTAATCCCCACTTAGTATCATATGATGATACAGATTGCTGTATGTCAACACCGACTGCCATTTAACGTGTCAATATGATTCCAGACTACTTGGAAACAGGCAGGTGGGTCTACAGGTCGATACGAAAGCCATGAGCTTAGTATGAGCTTAGTATCATTACCTGGTATTAGAGATACCAACGTTAGTAGATGATAGAGGATTGGTCAAGCGTATGCCCCTAAGCCCATCATCATCTTTATGTAATGGTCTTGAAATGAATTTTCGACGAATCTAGGGTTGTATACTCTTCATTATACTCTTCTCTCTCTCTCTCTCTCTCTCTCTCTCTCTCTCTCTCTCTCTCTCTCTCTCTCTATATATATATATATATATATATATATATCCCTCTCTCTGTATATCTTTATATTCCCCCCCCCTCCTCTTCGTCTTTCCGTCTTTCTCATTTTTTCATTTCCTTTTCCTATTAGTCCCTCCCCCTCTTTTTCTCCCTTCTTCCCCTATCTCTCAGTCACTCTCTCACTCTATATTTAATCACTCTCTAGTTCTTTTCCTATCTCCCTCCCCCTTTCTCTCTCTCTCTCTCTCTCTCTCTCTCTCTCTGTCCCTCTCTCTCTCTCTCTCTCTCTCTCTCTCTCTCTCTCTCTCTCTCTCTCTATATATATATATATATATATATATCTCTATTTCTCTCTCTTTCTCTCTGTATATAATATCTTCATATTCCCTCCCCTCTCCCTCTTTCCGTCTCTCTCATTTTTTCATTTCCTTTCAGTACTTGTCCCTCCCTCTCCTTTCATTCCCTCCTTCCCTTTTCTCTCAATTATTCCACCTACCCTATATACGTCACTTTCTAGTTCCTTAATACCTCTCCTCCCCTCTCTCTCTCTCTCTCTCTCTCTCTCTATCTATCTCTTTCTCTTATTTAGAAAATAAATATGTATGAAAACGCAAAAACTCGAAATAATCAATTGAGCCATTATCTCTATTCTGGTATTAAATGAATTAATTTATTTCAGTTGGCAAAACTACAGTTAAAGGTATACACCCTGCTACGAACGCAACACGCCATTGGCAAAATACATCATGCTATTCAACGCGTTTTATATATGATTCAAATGCATATGACAAAGTACAAAATTGTCACTGGTAATACAAAGAACGCTATACCAAATACATACTAACCATATATGTACACATCTATGACGATATTCGATATACATTTACACTCTAATCATTCATGCATATCAGTGCATAATTTTATACGAGTGTTTCATACTTTTACGCAGTAACATCTTAGAATTCTTGGTACGTCTTCCTGTAATATATATACACATTTTCAATCCTTACTACAATACGTAGAATCTGATTCCAAATTCAGGTGAAATAATAATGTTTTCAGCGTATATAATGTATATAGTTCACTGATATTATTATATAGCTATTTACAGAACAGCATTTAATAGACAAACACATTCTTCTCTGAAAACGTATACGTGTATGATATCGAGTTTCAGTACAACAAAGACATTATCTTATATTGCATATATACATTTTAATTGTACATATTTATATCTGCCTTGAAACGTAACTTGGCATGTGTTACGGAAAGAGGGTTTCAAATTGTATTAACTTTTAATGAAAACAAATATAATATCTGTCAATGCCAGGTTTGAAAAATGCTTTTGCCTGAAATGGCCATGTATATGTATGTAGGTTGCGCGGTAATGGCCTGGTATGGGCGTCAACTCGGGGGGGGGGGGCAGAAATAATGACAAATAAAAGCGAAGGTGAATAGTAACTTTTGTAGGAGTGAACAATTCCTGTTGCATTTCCTGCTCGAATCAAGTCTCTGAATACATGGGGTGGATACGTTAATAAGTCAACTTGTTAATTGTGGAGTTTTAATTGTTTAGTTTACAATTGCGATCATATATGTCTTTAGAAACGTATTAACAACCACCCATATCTCATGTACTGTATTTAGATTATGAGGCGTAATTCCGAATGCGTCATTACATGCGTCAATCAAGCCTATGCGCTAATAATCCATCGCAATGTGGCCAGTATCACGGTCACAATGCCTGAGCTAGTGTCTGGTGCATCCCGTCAGGCCATGACACCTAATTTGTAATGGCCATAATACACTAAAGCAATCGATAAAACTTTCTTAACTTATTCGAATAAAACAATATGTGAAAACAGGTCCTCTGGACTAGCACATCCCTTCACATTCATGTTAGAATGGTAAAAAGTACATAGCTATAATACATACAAAGCGGTGTCTCGTCCGGCGCCGCATCGTTTTTTTAAAAGATAGGCTGTATATACGCAGCCATTACATCAGTCCTAATGGGAGGATGCAGGCTGTGTATAATAGGCCTATATATGTCGGATTATCCTCTGCCAAGCCTGGTCCTGCAAACGTCGAAATAACCGCTCGCGGTATGTATGAGCTTTTTCTACATTTTTTGGACAGTATGTTATACTATAAAAATTACTAATTTGATAAATATTCAATAACTAAAAACTTCGTCCACTAAATGCGTCACGTCACAAACAAGTGTGACGACATATGTCTCTGTTGATCACATTTCTTGTTCTTTAACAATTTCGAGGATAAAAACTAGGTACCGTACTCATACATAATTATGTCCATATATGTAACATATGTTAGTGCTGTTTAATTTGATTACGTTTACAACATACATATTCTTTGAAAAATAATCCCGGCGAGTGATACGTATGGCATGCCACACAGTGCTGTATTAGTCCTGGTCCCACCTCTCCCCTAACGATAACTAATAATGATACAAACACATTGTCTCTATACATTAGTAATAGATGCTCATTATAATGTTTTGGTGTGACCGACGCCATCTATATATAAATGAACCACTTAATCAGTAATGAACTAAAACATGACTTCGATACATTGCATCTGGAGGATGGAACCGGGACTATAATTTTGCCTGGGGTCCGTAGCTTTAAACTTAACATTGCTGGTAAATTTGCCACAATGGTAACTACCATGGACACTTGATTTTCATTGGCTACTGAGCCATTTTACCATGGTAGTTGCCATTGATGGTAAAGTTACCATCAATGGTAAGTTTTGTGCAACGATGCTCAGATAAAACTAACCAGTACAATAGGAGCCTCAACCGATCTTCATATCTCCATATTATGTCAATATATTATGTCGATCACTCTGTCATTACCACATTGTACATTTTTTCTCCGGGTTCATGGGTGATCCAGCGGGGCATTTGTATGCTTTAGCGAACGACGGCGAGTTTGTGATAGCGCCTAGTACTCTGAAAAAGATAACAAAGAGATAGAGAGGGAGTGTTAAAGAAAAGAGTCCAGAGAAAATGAGGGAATTTTAAATGTATGTAATCATACATTTAAATATTAAACACAAATGAAAAAGAGGGTAAATATGAACTTTATGACGGAATTTCAAAATTAAAGAGGACAGGAACCCAAATTTAGTTCCTTTTTTTTCTATAGTTCACAGTTTTTACAATATCTTAGCTTTCAGGCTACGTTATTAATGTAATCACATTTTTCCACCACTATCCTCATCATCACCACCACCATCTCAATCGTCGTCATCATCATTAGCAACTCTTTATATCTTAAAACCATCATTCTGTGAACACATACATATTCACGAAGAAGGAATATGCAAGTTTGGGAGATTTACAAATATTAAATTATTCACGCTTTCATATGCATATTCTTAACAAAAACACGACACCATTATTATTATTTTTTGAAAAAGGGAAGGGGTAAAATATCACCTAAAGTATTGAGGCGGATGTGCACTGTTAGCGAGGATTTCCTTGAGTGCCTCTGGTCGATACAAGCTGCACCAGATCTGTCCAAAGTTGAGAAAGAAGAGCTGATCGTTGGAGAGTCCAAGCCCAGGAAGTTCAGGTTCCTCTTCCCCTCGCCTTTTCACCCATCTCCTGTAAGCCTGAATGAACCATATAAATTTAACGTTAACCTTGCATTTTGATACTGATAGTGACATTGACAAAGAATCGGCAATTATTGAAAGGAAATTGGAGCTGTATTCATTTCCACTGTGCAGCTTCTTTTTAAATATAATTTTTGTGCATTGTTAATTCCCTTCTTTTCTATCTTAGTTCCTTTTTCTAAAGCTTGCTCTGAAATCATATTTTGCGACATATCGGCCACGCGTGAACTACAGATGCCATGAAACATTGTGTGATTTGTGGATTGAATAAAAGAGAGAGGGAGAGAGAGAGAGAGAGAGAGAGAGAGAGAGAGCGCGAGTGAGAGGACGAGGTAAATATGTGTAGATGTCTAGTGGATAGGTCCTCGGACTGTGAATCCCATGGTTCGCGGTTCGAGTCCCACTGCGGCACTAATGCTCTTTGGCAAGACATTGATCTACATTTGCCACACTCGACCAAGGTGATGTTAATGGGGAACTGGCAGGAAAGTATTTCCTTGAAATGCTAGAGCGCCATTATGGCAGTCATGCTAATAATTGTGGAGCGCCAGGAATGTCAAGTTTGACAGACATGAGTGCTATACAGGAACCCGCTATTATTGTATATATATATATATATATATATATATTACTTGGTCTATAAACGTTTAAAACAATATCCAATTATTAATTTCACCGTAAACGTAATCATCCCTTTTCCGATTATTTCTGGCATTACGGAAAAATAGCTTTAGAGCCCTCTAAAGTATTGGGAGCCCTAAAAGTTTGCCGGCAAAATTTCACTTAAATTGTATCATAATGTGAAAGAGGGTATCATTTCTGCAAGGATTTTCAAAACAAATGTGTTTGAAGTCGAATATTAATGAAAGAATACAAACTTTAGGTTCTCTGCATACAACGAAAAAACCAAATTATGTATTGTTTTATCAATATTTGTTTTCATTTTCATTTTTTTTTTAGGGGGGGATCTTTGCACAAGTGTGTCCTAAATGACATTCTATTTACATCATTTAAGTGAAATTTTGCCATCAAAGGTTTGGCAAATTTTAAAGCTCTCAACACTTTAGAGGGGCTTTTTAAGTCTTACCTCAAAGGACTGTTTTAGCCCTCCATTGTCAGCGATGTTTTCACCCTGTGTCAAGGCGCCATCAAGCTGCAAGCAAAACGAAAAATACGCCATTAAAATCGAGGAACGAGCACTGGTCATGCAACAGGCCATTTTCGTAATGTAACTAAATTTAATGCATAAATCTTTGCTAAGTGCTTCGTTATATATTATTTCATTCACCTGTTCCAAATAATTGTATTGCAATAGTCAAAATGCGAGTCAAAATATATTAGTCGTTGCTAAGATTTGTACCGACTTATTTTCTCATTTAAGTATATTCTTAAAGGTGGGAGTAACAAACTTTTTTTTTTCTTCAATTTTTTATCAACATAATAATTAAGGGGTAAAGTTTGATGAGACGGAAATTTACATTCTGACACCAATATCCCGATGTAATTATGTGATCTTCAACCTGCATCTCTTGCTTGTGACAATGTTTTTTTCTCCATGGCTTACATGCCTATTAAAAAAAGGAAGGTACGGACAATCCATATTTCATATATCTACGGGGGTGATTTCATTCCTTAGTCGAACTACATGTATCGGGCGGAGGAATATTGTTTTCATTTAAGAGCTCAACTTTCTTACATGTATCCTCACGCCATCCACCACTGAGCTGAAGTTGGAGTATTGGTCGATCAAACACTGCTTTTTCTCGTTAAATGCCTCTACCGATTCTGAGGAAAACCACGCACGTAGAGTGCCATCCTTGTCGAACAACCGACCTACAAAAGTAAAAATTAACATAAATATGTATGAAAACAAAGTGTAACCCTACAAAATATTTTTTCGAGTACAAAATATTTTTAATTTACGTCACAATCATCAATTATAATTTTTAAAGTATGAATTCAGATGTATATGACTGTGAATATAAACGGCATTTGATCAAATGTAGTCATTTGCATATCGCTGAAGCTAAAAAAAAAACACAGAATATTCTTTTGTAATTAAATTAAATGTATTGTCCGTATCGTCGCTTTAATATTCATTCCCATGACAATTTTATGGAGTTTTCAAGTGATCCAACTTTGAGCACGGCGAGTGTGAATTCGCACTTAAATAAACGGACCTTTTAAAACATTTGATGTTTTATTAAGAAGTCAGAAAGACATAAAATGAAAAAAAGTGAAGAAAATGACCAACATGAAACATAATGGTTTACCTTTGTTGTCAAAGCCGTGGGTCAGTTCATGTCCGATTACCATCCCAATACCGCCGTAGTTCATAGCTCTGAAAGAAAGTTTGGAACAAAAATATAATCACCATATACAACTGTAAACTTTATTGTTCTGTAACATAGCTCTGCCCATTTCTTTTTAAAGTTCTATTCATAACTTTTACAAGATTTGTACGAAATAATGTAATCAGTTCATGAATGTACCGTTCTTCAAGTCGGTTCGAGGATGGGAGCCAACATTTTATTCGTTTAAAACAATGCCCATTTTAGTTTAATCATAAACGTGACAGTTTCACGCTGTTTTAGTACTCTTTAACCTCAGCATATCATTTGAAATATTCTTAGAGTTTCATGGGACTAGGCTGGACATAATCGTTCAAACCGACCCTCATATGGCACTAAAGTTATTCGCTCGCTCACTTGGAAATTTGACTACTATCAGGATTTCCAGAAACTCTATTAACGTATTTCCAGGTGTGTAGAAGTTTATCCTAGTTGTTTACACACTTGACTGCATGACGATGCAAAGGTCGTGGGTTCGCACCCCGGCATTATCATATCGTACTTCGGCCAAATATCAATCAACAGTTCACCTCTCCACCCAAGTGTAAATCCCTAGTAAAAGAAGGAGTTTTCCTAATGTGTAACCTAGCTAACGCTAAAGTAATTTACTCATACGGATCATTTTACTCGGTTATTATGAAGATCCTCGGTTATTATGAACAATACATAAGAAAACAGTATTAATACTTAAGGGAAATCCCTTCACTTGGTGAACTGCATCATTTGAGTCTGAAGAAGACAGACTACTCTTGGATTGATCTACTTACTCCAAACACAGTATATCATATTTTAATGAGATTATGTAAGCTTCATATAACATGAAATACCAAAACTATTTTCGGCATGGAGATTTCAGAGGATTAATTGAGAATAGAAAGAAATGAAAGAACGAGGTTAACGTTTTTTTTTAACTTACTTCAAATTGTGCCTGAAGTAAAATGGAGGTTGCAGAATTCCAGCCGGAAAATCTAAAATAATAAGTGACAAATTGTTTTAAAAATGTATAGTAGACAGTTTTATACTGATATTTATATACCAGACGTCTTCTTTTTTAGTCTAGAGTAAAATATCTAAAATCATTATTTTATTACTGCTATCAATTTGAAGAGAGAAACACATTTCCAAATTTGTCGTTTAAGAATTTGTCCAGGATTGTTTGAATGTTAGAAGGTTAGTACAGTAGTGGGAATAATTAAATCAAGATACATTTTATACACAAATTACGCAGTTTTTTCATCAACCTTCAAAAATGTTAGCGGTTCACTTTAATATTATTATTATTGTTATTATTATTATTATTCTAAATTTTACACTTACACATTCTATTGTAGTTATTCTGGTAGTATGCATTAACTTTCACTGGCGAATCCAAATCTCTGTAGTGAAAGAAAGACAAAGAAAGACAAAAAGATGTACTTAATTCACGGCAAATTGTATTCCTCCAATCATTCAAAGGTGAGATGAAACGTAAAATACTTATTTGATGTAAATTCGGAGTATATTAATTTCCTTAAGGAACGATACACTTTGAAAATTTGTTTGAATATGTATTAAAGGCTTAGAACGAGATTGCCACTATTTCGAAAGATCATCTTCAGGGCGATTTCAAAAACCTATTGTAAGTATTGTACGAATAATGTTCGCATGACGTAATACCTGATGGTCATGTTTGCACATTTAAATACAGGTGTAGGTGATGTACAAGGCTATTGAAATTGCCTAGGTTGATTTGTTAAAAGAATTTGCTATAGCGATTTAGGGAAAGCTTGGATTTGAATACTGTATCATAAAGACACGGACAGTCAGGATTCAAGGTAATTGTCTACGTTTTACTTCGTTATTACATAGCAAAATAGAAGGAAAACCTATTCTAAGTGCTTCCATTGCTCCCGTTATGCCTGGAGATGGAATATCATTAACATTTTTTAATGAAGCAAGGTTTCAAGAATATTTTAAAACATAAAATCAGCTTGCAATGCAAAAAATATTGTCATGTCCTACAATATGTTAAGGAGAAAACTAAAAGTAAATAAACAGAACACTCAGCAATGATCAATGTTTCTTTCGAAAACTTCTGATTGGCAAATGATACAGGTGTGAAGGGGTTGTAGATGATTGTGTGCAGCTTTCAAAACATGTTATATATAAGTAGAGGTAGCGTGGCCGAGCGGTCTAAGGCGCTGGTTTAAGGCACCAGTCATTTCGATGGCGTGGGTTCGAATCCCACCGCTGCCACCATTTTGTTAAAGAAGGGAGTTCGATTCTGAACAGCACAATCAATGTTTCCGTAGATCTGAGCTGATCTGAGCGTCCGCCTCACAACCGGGAGGTCGTGGGTTCGAACCCCGGCCGCGTCATACCAAAAGACGTTAAAAGATGGGAGTTGTTGCTACCTTGTTTGGCGTTCAACAATAAGGGATAGAGCAACGTCGATCTGGCGCTGCTCAGTGGCTGCCGGGCTCACGATCGATTGGGCAAAAAGAATTTCCGTTTCGGTTTAATAAAATTTGGAGTGGACTATTAGGCTATTATTATTAGTAGTAGTAGTAGTAGTAATAATAAAAGTCTAGGGAAAACTTACTGTCGACCGTCAAAGTAGATTTTGCGTTGTGTGACCATCCACTTGGCCATGCTTTTCCACAGTTCCACGATGTTTTGAAAGTGATGGTGCCTGGTGATGTTCACCTATCATCAACGAAGGAGGAGGGGGGGGGGGGGGGATAAATGCGTTAATCATTAAAATCGTCACATAAGCGGAGAGAGGGGGGGGGTAACAACTCATGGGTCTGACATACTATAGTGGTGAACAATTTTTTCCCCAATGTTTTGGACCCTCTGACAAGCTATTTTATTGAAAATAAATCTCTGAATAACATATTTGAATACATGTACAAATGAATATCATATAATACTTCAAAATAAGATATACATAATGAATATCAATCATAATATAAAGCGATGAGTGAAAGCATAGCATATTGATAACAATAATATAATAATAATAATACTATACATACAAAACATGATAATATAAAAAAATATATACACAAATTATTTAACAATTACAAAACAGTGGTATAGTGGTAAACATAGGATAGAAGCGATGGAGGGCAAACATGAAATGTACAGATATCCATAGAGAAAAGTAGATTAACTAAACAGAGGGAAGTTTCACTACTCTATATCACTGATATTAGTATGATATCACTGCATAATCATAGTGATCATCATTTCGATTCCATAAATATATGTGTTGATGCGACTTGGATTCAATGAAAAAATATTATGTGAATGATACTTTTTTGTCGAAATCTCTTTTTTGACATCTAGCAATAGTGCCGTAGAAACATGCCGAAGTAGAAATCAGCTATGTGCTTCCTATAATCACTGGATATGTGGTTTGTTCTCCTAAAAGTGGGTATACCATACCAATGTCAAGATTTACTTACGTCTTCGAACTCTTTATCCACAGATGCGTTGTTTTTTAGGTTTTCATCGTATCCAATCAGATCATATGTTGCTGTTGCCTGCGAAATTGAAAACGTAATAAAATGGTTACGAGTAAATAATAATTACACATAACATATTGATCTTTCTCTCTTGTGTCACTTTTTACTTAAATCCTGGTTCAAAGACATTTCTTTGCTGATTTCATGAATCAATTTGTCTTTTGTCTATACAAAGAACAATATATTAGACCTTCCATGAACTTGTTTAGCTTCAAGATTGTTTTTACCCATACCCGTGACAACATTAGAGCATCATAAACGTAATGGATAAAACGTGTAAGACATGATGCTAAAATAAAGCACGTTGTATCAAAGCAACGATGGTTTAAAAGTCACCATGTTCGACAGCATATTTATTAAATTCGAGACATAAAATGAAATGATTGATTTTGATTGAAATATTAAAACTTGAATTTTACACATTCAATGATCTAACCTTGGCAATGGCTTCTTGTTTAGTGTCGTCATCCATCCAATCAGTTCCTTCTAATATATCCAGCAGTACTTCCCGGATGTGTTGTACCATCTTCCTGGCCTGTTGATATGTAAATAAAACAAAATATTAATGATAGAAAGTAGAACAACTACCACAATAATAAAGAGATGTCACATTTGTATCATCAACCAGTTTCAGTTAGAGTCGACGGACGTGTGTACTTGGAATTATCGTTTTGAGAGCATTTGTAAAAAGAACTCAAGACGGAACAGACAAGTGGTTGCTCTCTCGAATAGTTTCAAGGCGAGTGGTATATTCTTTCGTCAAAAGAACCCACTTAGAGGAATCGAGAAAGAAGTATAAAGTCGGAACTACAGTATTATTTCGTGTATAATTATGTGTATCATTACAACCCAAGTATGCTACCTCAATCTTGCTCTGTTCGTCAAAGTGTTTCCGGATGAACATGGCCCCCACCGAGCTGCTCATGAGGACTGTACAGCGCTGTACGCAGGTCTTCCAGCGAGGCTCGTCGGCCCTCTCGCCATCAACAACCTTGCGGTACTCCAGCCTATGGTGCAGCAATCTTGGGCAGAGGTAGCTCATGCTCTTCATGGTGACCCGCCACATTAAGAAGTTTGCCATCACCCTAGAGGAGAAAGAAATAGAGGGGGAGGAGGGAGGTCGGGTCTCCTTGTTACAGCTCTCCAGTACATTCTGTCTGTAGCCAGCTCAAAATCATTTTAATAATAATAATAACAATAGGCATTTCTATAGTGCCGTCTATCTAGATAATTCTATTCCGAGGCGCATTTATTATTACCCCGGCTTTAGAACTAGCTGCCGTTTATACAGCGCTCTAGTATTTCAAGGAATTAATTCCTGCCAGGTACCCATTTATATCACCTGGGTTGAGTGTGGCAAATGTAGATCAATGTCTACCCTCAATGTCTACCATCTTCCTTAATACAATTCATCAACCTCAACCTACGTATTCATACCATCTTTCAGAGAAGGTATGTTTTATTTTGAAAAATAAATTCAATGACGAGAAACTATAATGACCAAGGTGGTGAGTGGGGTTCGATAGTGTTCAAGCAGACCGCCGAAAATATAGCGGGGCTTTTAAATATGATCCGGAAAGACCACATCAAATTAGTACTGTTGTTCGTATAAATCTTTTAGAGCTATTGCAAGCTCCATTTTATATATTGCCTACTGTATGACAATGACGTTCTATTCAATTGCTATCTTACAGAGCAACGAAATTGGGCTAAATCATTAATTTCAATGAACGTTATAATATATCAAAGTCATTATCATTCTAGCAATATTTTCTAAACAATGAAAAACATAATTCCGAACGCTAAATGAAGTTTTGCTTCTGCATGTAGCTCTTAATGTGCAATTCTAATATCAGAAAGACAAACATTTGAATGAGTGCGTCGAATGAGTTCCAAGGGAATCAAGAGAGTTTTGTGCTGGCATCATGGCATCAGTATTATCCGCAAATATTCTTGGACTCTCTTGCGCTTGATGACCTGTCATTATTACCACTGGTCCTTCCTCTTTGAATTATATTACGTTGTCATTGTCAAAAGTAAATTTTGCAATCACGGATGTTTATTTATATGTGTAAATGCATTAGTTATATTTTGTTTAGACCATTGCAATTCAAATTTCCGAATGGATATTAAACAGCTAATAGCTAATTAATAGCTAATTATATTTGTTGTCATTTCGTCCATTGTATTACCTCTTTGGAGTTCTTGTGACAATATCTGCGATATTTATCAGATACTGTAGATCGAATGTGTTGAATAGGTCTGTTTCCAGGAGAGAATCATCGTTGAACACCAGATTCAGATAACGGAACCAATTGATCTGAAAAGAAGGGATGCCATATTTAAATAAATAAACAAACGAACAGATTAACCAATAACAACAAAAATATGTTATCAGTGCTTTCATTGCCCCCGTTATGCCTGGAGATGGAATGTCATTAACATTTTTGAATGACGTATTCTCCATGACAGGGGGGGGGGGGGGGCGATGGGGTCCATCATAAACATCAAGAGCGGTCTTCACCAAGGTTTCAAGAATATTCAGAACGTAAATAAATCAGCTTGCAATACGAAAAAATATTGTCATGTCCTACAAAATTGAACGTAAATAAACAGAACACCCCGCAATTTTGTTTCTTTCGAACATTTCTGATTGGCATATGATGCAGGTGTGAAGGAGTTGTAAATGATTGTGTGCAGCTTTCAAAACAATTTTTATAAGTAGAGGTAGCGTGGCCGAGCGGTCTAAGGCGCTGGTTTAAGGCACCAGTCATTTCGATGGCGTGGGTTCGAATCCCACCGCTGCCACCATTTTTTGTTTTTCCGAGTATTATCTTTTTTTTTATTGACTAATCTATTTGTAATTTTAGAATTGAAAAGACCTAAATCCGGCTCTTTACTCATGTTATGGATTACTAATGTCGCACTTCTAAAAATTGTCCGATACTTGCCAGACATAGCAACAAAGGATGTTGATGTGTACAGCAGAAGAGTTGAGCAGTGACTAGGAGTTTTGGATATAAACAAATCCATTAATTGAAATAAATAACTAAGTCGGACTAAATCAAGAAATATCCATCGTCTGCCATTTTCATTCTGCTGTTCTAGGACGCCTAACCCTGGACATCCATCCCCCGGATAAACCACCCCCAGTCAACTACCCCTAGGACATCTACCCCTAAGGACAACTACCCCCTAGGCCAACTACCCTCGAGGACGATTACCCCCGGGGCAACTACCCCCGGACAACTACCCCCAGACAACAACCCCTTAGGACAACTACCCCCTGGACAACTAACCCCGGACAACTAGCCCCTGGACAACTACCCCCTAGGACAACTACCTGCAGACAACCATCCTCTAGGACAAATTCCTCCGGAAAGACTATCGTAGGGGGTTGTTGTCTGGGGGTATTTGTCCGGGAGTAGTTTTCCTAGGGGGTAGTTGTCCAGGGGCTAGTTGTCCGGGGGTAGTTGTCTGGTAGGTAGTCGTCCTAGGGAGCAGTTGTCCTAGGGGTTAGTTGTCCGGGGTCAGTTGTCCTGTGGGGTAATCGTCCTAGGGGGTAGTTGTCCTAGGAGGTAGTTGACTGGGGGTGGTTATCCGGGGTGGCTATCTTGGGGGTAGGTGTCCGGATACGCTCTATGATACGTATATGCTTACCCCTGGGGCCATTGCACCTAAGTTCTGTAATGTCGTCTTGTTGTAGATCTTCAACAGGTCTCTTCTTTCAGCTTTTGCTAGTGAGGCCTAAAGAAAAAAAGAGTAACAATTTAGATTTATTTTCAAATTATACTTTTTCTTTTTCATATGTGACTTTTCTTTAATCAGATAACGAATGTAATTCATTCGTATAATTCGCATTTATTTCATCTCGATTAAAAATTACATCGATACAAACGATACAAAATGATTTATAAACAAACTTAGAAATTTATCGGAATAGTTTATCGTGTGAGCTAGATAGGGTGTAATCCTCTTGACTAAAGGTCTTCTTCTGTCGATCTGGGGGCTGAATTGGACGGGTATAGTTAAGTCGACTATTTCATTTTTTGATTAAGGACTTAGATGGTCCAAGTGTGTTCAAGGGGCCTAATCTAATGGGCTTGATACTTTCGGAACATCCTCTTGGTTTATATTGAGATCGGTACCGCCTTTGATTGCCTTTTAGAGCCAATGTCCGAGTTACTGTTTAATGATTTTTGGGGTGTAAGTTATCTTCTTATAAAGTGAATACATAAGAAAATGTATTTATCATAATATCGTTAAGAAATAGGTTTAGGAGGTGCTCGTAGAATAATATGTCGATACAAAGATGGATACTCCTGAGATCCCTAAATGGCAAAACTGTGATTTCGGCTGTGCCCCCAACTGGACTTGATCAGGGCACTGTTTGTTAAACGACACAACTTAACTTCACACAGCCAATCTATCGAATTCAATGACCTCTGTACCTATAATGCTTTATATTAACAAAAAAAAAAGATTCTCTGAAACTACATTATATGGCTTACATTAGCAATTTCCCTTTCGAAATCATATGCAGCATTCATCTCTTCTGCAATGTAGGTGTCGTTCAGGTCCGGTCTTAGTTCCTTCACTATTGAGTTCATATACGTGATGTAAGCCTGCACCAGCTGTATCATCAAGGAGAAAAGAAATTGAATTAGATGTTTGATTCAGTTGTTTCACATAAACACATTTGATCAAATGGAGAAAGATTATGGCAATGAATATGGACAAAAAGATCTTCTGTCACTTATCGATGGTAATAGAACTCACTAAATTTCTAACGAGAGTAAAGCTTATAATATCGATGAACAAAGCTTATCAAGGTAGAAACGATAGCCAGGGGAAAAATTAATATTTATTTTTGGGGGGCTACTTTTCAAGCTTGCCTGCATGAAAATAACATTCTAAAATTCGTTTTGCATTGAACTCTATGCAAATTTACAGGGGCTCTTTTATGATTTTCGGGGGCTATTTTGGGCATTTCAATAAAAAAAAAAGAACTGAACTGAACTGAACACAAAGTATAATTATAGTCTCAATACGTCATTTAATTTTAGGAAATGCAATTTCATGGTGATATATTTCAAACTTACCTTGTCGCTTTTATCTCTGAGAAAGTATTCACGTGATTTCATTCCAAGTTCAGGCTGGTCTAGCTGTCATAAAGCAAGATGCAACATCACTTTTATATCATAGTTTCTTTCAATGTTAATTAAAGTTTCTTTGTAAATGAGTGGACAGTCATGATTCTTTCCAGCGGATTTGGAATACCTTGTGAGTGTACAAGTACCCCACACTTATATCATTATGAATTTACAAATCTAAAGACATTCTACTGATTCTTGCTAGTTTGGATATGTGTACTCGGTTTCGTGTACATCATGATTATAGTATCGTTGGTACGGAGACATTTGGTAAGCATTATGATAATCATTTATGAATTTTCATTTTGTTTCATTTTGACACCTGGGCCCCATTGCACAAAACTTACCATTGATGGTAACTTTGCCATCAATGGTAACTACCATGGAAACCTTGATTTTGATTGGCTGTTGAGCCCTGTTACCATAGTAGTTGCCATTGTTGGCAAAGTTACCATCAATGATAAGTTTTATGCAACGGGGCCCTGGGCATCGAACTACAAGTTTACTGACATCCCATTAAATCATATTGAATTTAAATTTTCTTCATGAACGTAATCTCTACCAAATGATCCGCATGGCCTCAATAATAGTATCTTTTGTATATTTTTGATACACTATTCACTTACGAAAATTAGAGTCTGACTGGACTTCGTGATGTCTCTCATTGTGTTCTGTTTAAAGATATAGTTGACGTTGTGCAGCTGTCGGATTTGGGCCATGACCTCTTCAAGAACCCACGCATCTTTGTCGAATGTTTCACTGATAATGGGCCATCCGCCGAGTTCCTCTACAAACCGTAATAGTGGCTCAACGTCTGTTTCGATGACAGCAGCTATAGAAATGTAACATAAATATTGGTGAACAAAACGTACATAATAATGATTTTCTATTTCAATTTGTTTTACTTGTGTTATGATGATAATAATAATAATAATAATAGTGGATATTATATCCCTTATCGTAAGATTGTTGCATTAGGTGTGTACACAACAAGAAAAAAAAAAGTTTTACTGTAAAAGACGTTTCCTGCGGACTAGATCGAAATAGTTCATTTTTATTGATGACGTCACGCATAGTACAGCGCGCTCAGGTCCACCACTCGGTGCTCATGGCAAATTTAACTTTCATTAGACCGAGGTTCCGCAGGACGAAAATAGGGACTTTTAGATTTGTACGACGAGAACGTGGACTGCTCGTGTGACACCCTTTTAAGGCAATGTGACGTCACTGCCAGTGCCTTAAAAGGACGTCACATTGCCTTAAAAGAATGTCACACGTCGCAGTTCTTCGTCGTGCTAATCTAAAAGTCCCTAATGTCTGTCTAGTGAACACTCAAAAAGAAGTTGTCAGGAAGCCAGAGATACGGACAATGCCCATTTTGTGGACTTTAACCGGGTCCGGGTTTTAAAACAGTTCACACGTAGTCATTATCATTAATAACCACGATCAAGTACTCTCTTCGAATAATACAATGGCAATCGTCCACTGACAAGAAATAAATGTACGATGGGACTTGGATACTTTATCAAAATAATGAAGGCATGTTAGGGCCTATATAATTATCTCATATTTATGGATCGTTATATTTCCATTTGGTTATTGAAATAAATAATTATAATGTATGAGGACTATTGATCAAGATGTATAGTATTCTTCCTGACAAGAAAAGTATAATTACAATCAATTATAAGCAATAATACACCAGAAAACATTTACCTTCGTCTATGCAAGCTTCATATAAATGTTTTACTTTTGACTCGGCTTCGTTTTCATTTGGTAATGTTGCTTCTTCCAAAAGACCTGATTTGAGGAAAAATGAATCAAGAAAAAAAGAGAAAACAAGACACATTTTTTAGATACTGTTTTACTCAAAAATGCTATGAGAAGGAAAGTACAATGTTAATAATGGTTTCTAAATCTTTTATTTTTCTTCTCGAAAATCACCTTTGAGCTAAACAAATGATAAAGAAAAATGGAAGATAAAATCAGAAATATACACACACAAATGAAGTGCCAAATGTTGTTTTTAATATATGTCGGCTTACTTTGAATCATCGCCGCATCACGTCGGGTCGAGTGGTCACGTTACCCAACCTTTAGTGAAAACATGCCCCTATATTCACGACATATCGGGGGTAATGTTTGTGAAATAAACCCCTCTCTGATCTTCGAATGGTCTGGTTCAATTTACCCGACACTTTGTGAAAATCCTACTGCGAATCTACGAAAGGACGAGTCCTTAACGTGTATTTTTACTTTATATACCATTTTCGTTAATACACGAAAGGTCGTGTAACGCGACCACTTGGCCAGTCGCGATGACCCGATAATTCGAAGTAAGCCTATCTGTCAGGGTTAAGAAATATGGGGCGTTGGGAGGGGGATTTGAGGTGTGCCAGATTGCCTTCCCTCTCCCCGAACCTGATCCTGATTCACTGATTCAGAATGTTAAATATCTAAGCTTCTTCTGGTCGAGCTGCATTGCATTAACGCATTGACAGCCGTTATGACACTTCCTAAAATGCAATAAAATGATGCTTTAATATTCCTTGTTCCTTGTTACTCTCTGGTAAACCCATGAAACAGATGAAGGTAAGGGGAATCATAATTAAAAGCCTCTATATTTGTAGTATCAATAACGTAATTCTTTTAGAGATGGGTAAATTGAAATATACGTGGCAGATGGCAGGGGCGGATCCAGCCGGCGGCAGGGGAGGGGGCTCTCTCCTCGATCCACCACTGGCAGATGTCGTAATCATATACACATTTCCAATTCGTAGCGGACTTAATTCAAAATTCTTGGAAAGGAGCAATACATAGTAACTTGCCGCATATCGATGAGTTAGCATTTGTAATGGCAAAGCCCACTCAAGCAAGTTACGACCGTCGATAACGCATACCGGGGTCCTGGAATTTAATGTCGTCATTTGTTCCAGTTAAATAGCGACATCGTCGACCATTTCATGGCCCTGGTACGGATTGTTATCTCGGTGTTGTGCCATCGTAAGTTGAACTAGTACTTTAATACCACTTTCTTCATGTTTCGAGCCATGTCTATTGTATTTGTTAATGTCTTTATTAATGCCAAAATTTACCAAAATTTAAACACTTTTCCATTCACTATATTTCTGTTTCAAATATATACGTGTCCCTAGGTAAACGTATATAGAGGTTTATACACATGTATACACGTTTACCCAGCAATGAGCTCTCAAGTGCACCTGTTATTTAGTATTGTATGGCAATAATCATAATGCAAATTGCATACATTGGTTGTTGCTCGGTCAAAATTATCACTTTGGCGTGGCGTATATAACAACAAGTAATTTCGTAAAATGCAATCTGACTTTTGAAATGCAATAATTCGCTTCAGGTATAGAATTAAATAATTCTTAAAGAGGCACAAAACAACGACTTTGTATTCAATATGATTAAATCATGAGAATGGCTTGAAAATATTGCTCTCACTGCGTGCACATGTTTTGTATGTTCTGCAAGAAAAATCTATGTGTGCACCCTGAACTGAATTTGCTACACCGATTATGCAGCCATGGGCAGAAGTTTAAGACCACTCATACATGCGTTAGCTTGAGGAGAATTAAAATTAAATGCAGGCCCACTCGTAGAATTATCATCAAAATAAAGGAGGTCTTCGTCTTTTGCAAATGACTGTATAATTGGAGATAAAGAAAAACATAATTTTGTTTCAAACCTCTTGTTAAGACAAGTAACTTGTCTTGCTGTTGCCCAAGTACTGTGACCTTGTTTTCCTCCTCTGGTATAGTTGTCTTCTTCATCCATCCTCCGCATGAGAACTGGTAGAAATCTTGACAGGGATCTGCCTCCAAGTCCATGTTCTCTATTAGCGCACCCGCTATAAAAAAAAATTAAAAGAAAGAGACAAAAACAAGGATCCCGAAATTACATTTGTGAGATAAACCATTGGCAGGGTGGAGGGGGGGGGGGGTCGGGAAGATGTACGACAGGTGATTTTGCGAGTATATCCATAAGTTGACTATTAAAACGATTGCTTAACTTTGAGGAGGCACGATATGATAGCTCAATTTGTAGAGCATGGTCTCGTAATCCGGTGATCCGGATTCGAAACCAAGTCGATGCGCTAGTGCCCTTTGGTAAGGCATACATCCTCATTACCGGGTCCCTCGGAGAGGACCTAAAGCTGTAGGCCGTCTAGTTGCTTACTTACACGCATTTATGCTTTCTTAGCAGCCAGGTACAATAACCATCACCACTCAACTTCAACCCCGGACCATTGAAACGGCGTACCTGACCTCTATACCCTAACCTAAAACCCAACAGACCTGCTTAGCATGCTTCTCTCCAGATTCAAATTTAAATTCACATTTTTTCGGCAAAAGATAACAAAATCAAAATGACCTCATTACAAATGAAATCATTATAAATACCGGGATCGCTTCCTGAAGGAAGCGTAGCAGCATAACCAAACAGCCCGCTTTTGAAGTATGATAAGGGGCTTTATTAATTTATTAAACGTTCTCGCCTACACAAAATTACAATACGTTAGTGTATAGTATAAAGAAAGCATGGTATAGGATGGAAGAAAACTTCTGAGCTCACTCATAACACCGACTTGAGATCGAATCTTCTTGGAAATTAGTTCAATGTGTTTTTCCCATGTGAGTTTGTTGTCAATGGCAACTCCTACATAAATTGCAGATTGTACCTGGTCAATACAGTTACCATCTATTGTCAGATTAACATTTTCAATTAAAGTATCATTTTGTTTGCCAAAGTTAAATATCATGAACTTTGTTTTGGTCTGAATAATTTTTAGTTTATTTGCGGAAAACCAGCTAGCAACCTTTAGAAGTTCAACATTGGCTTCGAAAATTAAGTCAATCAAATTTTACCCAGAATAGAAGATGTTTGTGTCATCGGCATACAGTACATAATGTAATTTCCTTGAAGACTCAACAATGTCGTTTATGAAGAGCAAATATAATAACGGGCCCAAGATACTACCTTGAGGAACACCTTGCTTCATTAATTACAATTCAGAGTCAGATTCATTATATTTTACACATTGTGTTCTATTAGACAGATAAATGTGGGCCCATTCCAATGGAATGCCTCTAATTCCATAAAAACTTAGTTTTCTTAATAATATTTTGTGATCCAAACAATCGACTGCCTTGCTATGGTCTACATACACTCCTAAAGCTATCTCTTTCTTTTCATAAAATTTGTACAAATTTTCGGATGCAAAAAGTAAAGCTGACTCTGTTGAATAACATTTTTCGAAACCCAAACTGTTCCGAAAAAAAATAATTGAATGCTTGTGAAGGAAAGTAGATAATCGATTGTACATTTAGTCTTTCTAAAATCTTGGAGAAAGTCGAAAGCAATGATATTGGGCGATAGTTCGATAAATCATGTATATCACCTTTCTTAAATAAAGATATGACTTTTGAAACTTTCATTGATTCAGGAAATGATCCAGACATAACTGAAAAATCAAACACATGGTTTAAGGGTTCAACAATATAAGAAATTATCTTCTTTATAACGTATGGTGACATATCATCGATCCCATATGAGTGTTTATTTTTCAAGGAAGAAAATAACTTCAAGATCTGATTTCGATCTGTTGGTGAAAGAAACAAAGAATGTGTTACGCTGGTTTTCAAATAGTCAAGAAAGCATCCAGTGGACTGCGGATTATCAAACAATCAGCATTAACGAAAAACGAGTTAAATGCATTTGCAATTGATTTTGGTTCAGTAAGCCTTACACCATCTTTACGAATGAATGAGGGTAATTTCGATTTACTATCTTTACCAAGCAGGTTGTTCAAAGTTTTCCAAGTGTTTTTTAAATCATGGCGATTTGATTCAAGCTTTTCCGCAAAGTAGTTCTTTTTGGAGACACGTATAATGTGAGTAAGCCTATTTCTAAAAGATGTATACTTTTTCTTCACAGAGTGGTTGTTCAGTTTTAATTACCGCTTACAAGCGTTTCTTTCTACCAATGGATTGAAGAATGCCTTTTGTAATCCAGGTTTTTCTTGATGATCTACGTCTATCCTTACCAGGTATTGTTTTCGAATGCTTTGAAATCATCTTTTGAAAATCTTGAATAAAGGTATCGTAAGCTTCGTTGACATTGGTTTTGGATGTAGCAAAGACCAATCATACAATGCTAAATCTTCACACAATGAGTTTAAGTTTATTCGGTGTTTAAATTGACTCGCATTGTTCCTTTTCAAGTGGGTGTGGTAATTTGGTGGTAAAGGGTTCGTTACTTGAAAGATTGGAAAGGGATCAGAAAGATCTGAATACAAAATACCAGGCAGGATTGGCTTATTCAAAACATTTGTAAAGATGTTGTCAATACAAGTAGATGAGTTAGTTGTTACACGAGTTGGTTTCGTGATAAGTGGGAGAAAAGAGGAGGAGTACATTGTATCGATAAATACATTGGTATCCGAATGGAGGGCGAAACTAAGTAAATCAAAGTTAAAGTCTCCAACAATATAACATTGTTTATTCTCTTTGTTAACTTTACCAAGACATTCTTCAAGATGGTCATTAAACTCCGCACTACAAGTATCGGGAGATTTGTATACAGTTCCAACGATTAAATAAGAACCCCTGGTTACTATTTCAATTGATGTGCGTAATGACATCTGTAAAGATGGAATCCACTTTGCTTACAGTAGTTGTTGCTATATTTGGCAAGCCTCTGATAAGCGTTTCGATTTTCAAGAGAAAATTACGTTCAAGAAGCATGCATAAGATTAGTAGTCTATTGTAAACTATTTCTAGTTTTTTTTTTTGAGAATTAAGTATTTCAATGAACTCTTTTTCATAGTACTGTCTCAATATACGATTAGGATTCGGATTAATATTTGCTCACTTTAACTAGGACTCTCAACCTTCTCTTTAAGCTTCACATTCTGCGGTTTTAGAAGATGGCAGCAATTTCGTGGGGGTGTGAAGAGAGGAAAACCGCACACACACGCACGCACATTCCCTCACGCCCACGCTCTGGAGACGCAACCTACTGGGTCCTGGGAGTGTTTATGTGTTCTAGAAGCATATTGTATCGATATGGATATGAATTTGAACTTGTCGTCATTAGGGGCAATGAGGTATTACATTACGATGCTGTTAATACAGTCAAACGCGTCTGTATATGCCACGCAGGGGAAACAGAAAGATTTGCTAATGTAGACATGTGGCCTTTCCAGACAGGTTTTACAAACACACATTTCTTTTCTCAAAGGAGACAAAACGCACGGCCACTATAGACAGGTAGTAGGGAATGCAAACAATACAATTAATATCATTGTTTACTAATTGGTTATTAATAATTATACTACATGAATCACATTTATCGTACCTGAGGACAGTCATAATAATAACATCCGATAACAGCCATAATGACGTTGTCTCTATATAAAAGAAATTAGGCTTTTGACAGACGATGTATTAAGGACTATGTTGGAAAGATTACTACCTATTCAAGTCCATGATATTTAGCTATCAATAACTAAAAGAAAGATTGAAGTGAAAGAATTTGGTGACAAAAAGAAAATTGAAAGACTAAAAGCGCAAGAAGAAAACAAACTCCTCTCAATTGTTTTGAATTAACATGAAATTAGCAGAAAGAAAAAAAGTTTTTTTTTCCTTTAACATATATGAACCCCATCATGACGATAATGTAGCATATTGCGTTGTTGAACGCTTCAGTTTCGGTCCTTTCTCTCTTGTTCATGCATTCTAACCAGAACATTTTGAAATGTTTTCTTATTTTACTGTCTATCGCGTTCGATTTGTTCCCCTAAGGTCTTGTATTGCATTGCACTCTGTAGGTATCAAGTATAGACTATCACTTTAAAATTTAAATTTGAGCCAATTTGACACGCTTCCTGTTAGTTTCTGGTTACACAAAGGAAAAATGGTTTCGAGAGCAATTGTACAAGGTTGAAAGTTTCTTATTCTTGTTTCTTCTCATTTTAATATCAAACTCTAAATTTTAAACGATATCTAGTGGCGGCAAGAATAATTGCCCCTTTAGTAACTGATATGTTAGAGTTACCATGTTCTGGCTTCGCTACAAATGAGAAGGCAATTTGTCATAATTCATTGAACGAAGAAAGAGGGAAATGTTAACATAAAACAATAAAGGATCGCCGGCCGGTTAGGTATCATGTTACCTTAGTCTTCAAAGGCATATGATGCCATTTTTTTTAAATGACTTATTTCATACGATCATTTCTTTTTTTTTCTTCATATGTCAGGGAAGTAAACTACGATTGTTCGAATTTCCCAGGTCACCAGTTCTCTCTCTCTTTATCTGCCACACCTCTCCCTCTCTCTCTCTCCCTTCCTCCCTCTCTCTCCCTCCCTCGCGCTCTGTCTCTCCTCTTTCGTTTGTTCTATACCTTCTTTTCGCATTGTCATTTCAACTCTTTCTTTCCTTCCCTCCCATATCCCTCTGCTTTCCTATTTTATGATGGCTGCGTATTTTTCATGTCACAATTATTTCTATGATCTATTAATTGAAAGTAATTAGTTATACTGTTTAGAGTTGAAAACAAAATATCCTTTTGGCTTTAAAGTCACTTTCTTGGAAAAAGGAAGTAATGTTTCTGTGCTGTTGCAAATAACTACATATTTAGAAACAATCATGTAGGTCTCTCTTTTTTTTCTTCAATAATTACAGTTTTGGAGAATATAAAAGACATGTTTACTAATTCGATACTCGAATCTCTTTCAACAAGAACATTTGAATTACTATCCATGCAAATAATATGACATTCTTACCTGCTGATACGCAATGTGTAGAGAGGCATAAGTTCGATCCTGAAACAATAGAGAAATAAATCATAAACAAAATTAATGCAAATACAAGATAATTTATCAATCGGAAAAAGTAAAATGCATAGATTTACAACGTTGTGCGTCGACACAGAAAATTCTTTAAAAAGATGACCTGGGAACTTTACGTTTTGTTGAGCAATCTGCAAATGAAGGTTGATAAAGTATCATCAGACATGAAAGCTACTTAATCCATCATCATTTATCAAGGGATTTAGACCATATTGAAGAAACGCTCTTCATATAACAATTACGAAGCAGGACGATGTAGGCAATGTATAATATACTTCTGCCTTAAGGCATTATTCTGGAGGCACAGACTTTTTTTCGCAACCTGGAGAAGAAAAAATAACCATAATTCCTTCAATAAATACATTTTTTTCTCTTCCTTTCTATATTTTTATTTTCATATAATTTGTATACATGTAATAAAATCGTTTAGAATACAATGATTTTCTTCTATACGCCCAATAAAAACAGTAATGTTCGTTTAAAACGTCATCATTACAGTAAAATAAAATAGTAGGAAAGAAACGGCGATGCGGAATATTAAACATGCATATTATTTAATGTACGTTTCAATAACAAACGGGAAATAAGTCAGGCGATACCAGACGAGCAATTAAGTTCTTAACATTAAAACAAAAATTGAAACTAAAAATAACAGCTGAGCTTTTATTAGATGGTATAAACATATTTTGGGGTTGCTACATCGATTATACCCAAACAGGTACTACGTTGGCATTAACGATGATTGGATAGTAATAGTGCTCCAGAATTGAAACCAAGGACGGTCCTATTAATAAGCAGAAGCTTAATGTGAGGCAGGGGTAGCTAGGAGTGTATCCCATGAACAAGATGATAAAACAGTCGACATAGGTCCTACGTGTATTAAATAAAACGTATGATAACCCTAACAAAAATTCCAGTGCACATGCGCACACACACACACACACATACACGCACTTTGTTTTGACGCACACAACAAATAATGTCCTTTCTCTTAACATGAGAAAACTTTCTTTGAAATGTCGCATCTTATTGACCGAATCTCATTGTATAGTAAATATGCTGCAAAGTAAAATTTATCTAATGTTCAGAATAAAAATATTACATTAGAGTAAAAAGGAATAATGAAAGATGGTCAAAAAGATAATGTTTCCTCAAACTGAACAAAAAAAAATATCCCACATTCTCTTCTAATTTCGTGCATAGTTCTTAGGCAAAACTTTATCTACATGTATGTCTCTTTTGCAGCCAACATCAAATTATGTAGAACTTTGCAGGAATTATGAATATGTCATGGGTGTATGTCATATCTGTGAAATTTAAACGTTAGCAGTGTCCTAGTATTCAAATTATGCAAGGAAACCCGTTTACTTTCTAGACTTCACTGTCAGACACTATTGAGTGACTGACATCTTTTTTGATTTGGTAATAGCAAACATAAAAAGAGCTGTAACAGGTAGACGAGCACTTGCCTACATCAATAACCGACTACTTGTAATGGCTAAAATTAAACTGATTGAATCTTTGTGCAGCACAAAACGTACGACCATTTGGTACAAGGGTTTGAAAATCAGACTACTACTTAGGTAATTACAATCACTTATGTCGATGCGAAAGGGGACATAGTACCGGTCCCGAAAATGAACATAAATGCTTGCCTTACATAGACACATGTAATGTATTAAAGCTGTGTTCTTTTCATCTAGCTGCTACGGTTTTAGGTGTTACATATAAAAAAATAATGTGTAACCACTCTTTTTTGTTGACAGCAGTGCTTTCAGGGATATTATTTTGATTTATATAATTCACTTAGGAATAAACCAACATGGCAATTAAATCCACCGAAAAGGTTTTTTGATATAACGATGTGGCTTCAACCAGAACAATTCAAGTAAATCTTTCATGGAAATATATCATCCAGGGGCGAATACAGGATTCTAAAACAGCTAGATTGCGAGATCTCATTTAAGTGGGGTACAGGTCCCTTTTTTCCAAGGGCCTCGTTGTCCCCTACTAGCCCCTTGAAATCCCCAAGGCGGAGTCGTCCTTCCCTTTCACTCTTAGTGTTGTCATCAATACATACATGTACTTTCCCCAAGGGTTATAATATAAACTTTACACCCAGGGTAGCCTTCAGTATCAATATCAAAACTACCGATGGCCATGAAATCATTATTATCACTTCATATTTACCAGGTACCCATGACACAATTCTGTCTCTAGACGTACAAATATGAATATAAAAAGAAAAAGTTCGTTCAAGGATGCTCTGAAAATGGATTGAACCTAGTACCTCATGTATGTGAGTAAATAGCCTCCATCAATAGACCACAGGACTAACAAACATACAATATACTTTACTATACTTTACTACCAAAAATACTTTACAGATCAAATGCGGGTTCCAAAATACAAAGTTCTTAATTGCATAAAATGCGATTACACAAATCCTTAAATTTGTATTAATCAGTGAAACTATCCTCAGTTCAATATTTCAATAAATGTTGTTTTCGTTCAGTTGATTCTCATTAGAAACATTTACAAAATTCAATACATAGCATTTGAACCGTATCAGGACAATTACCCCCGGAAAAATTATCCGCGGAAAATTACCTCCTTGGACAATTACCCCAGTGGACAATTACCCCCCCCCCCCCCCCCCCCCCCGTGGACAACCATCCCCTTGGACAATTCCCCCGTCCCTAAAAATTACCCCCTAGGACAATTACATCCGCCCCCAGAAAAATTAACCCCCCCCCCCTCCAAAAAAAAAAAAAAAAAAAAACTCGGTTAATTAAAGGAGGAGTCCACCCCGAAAATTAGTTGGTTAATTAAAACGAAAACTAAATTATTGGGGGTAATTGTCCTAGAACTGAAGAAATATCTCTCATGGCAACGAAAACGCTTGTCAGAGGCTTGAAACAAAGGGGATTCTATCTAAAAAGATAATGCATAAATTATACATGCTAGGTAAATAACATGTTGGTATCAATGTTAGAAACGTGTATACATTACAGAAATGCATTAGTAAACAGTTCTCTGTTTTATGTAAGGTAATTTACAAAAATGTTGAAGGTTATAATATATTCTGAGATTTTTTTTTTTGTTGTGAATCTGTACTTGGTATTGCATAGTCAATTCCAAAAATGTAATTGGCTTTTAAATCTAAACGGGACAATACGAGTTATCTATACTGTCAGACAAAGCGGCCTTCCTCTAAAAAAAAAAAAATTAATCTTGTATTTAACAGATTTTCATATTTTTTGGTGACTATCGATGATTATCTAAAGAGTATGTACAACAATGCAACCATGGGTGCATGAAAATCGGCAGCAAAATGTTGCATCTGGTATTTTTAAGGTGATGCGAAGGAAATCTCCGTTCATTTCCTTCTTTAAAGCCCAAAAAGATTAGTTGAAGAGTTCAAAATGATGTCCAATTATACCAATTTGCGTGGGGGTAGTGTATCGACCCACATCCTCGCTGATTTCAAGACCAACACATAGACAACAATGACGTCATTCTCTAGCCCCAGGTCTGTTTTCATGATTTCCTTCCTAAATCTGGATCCCCATGCTTACCAACACACCTGCTATTTTAGCTGCGTGTAATTTCTGTACACAGGGTAGGGATGCGTTTAAAAGGCCCGCGCAGACAAAATAGGAGGTGGTATTTACGCTCTCCGCATCCCAATGCTGAAAACATCTGCCACACACATATCCCCTTTAACACATAAACTGCCGCATGGCGCGAGCTTACTGCGCTTCGTGTGATTCTAATCCAAAATCTCAACAGTTTTTTGAGCATCCAATCGTTTTCACTTGATTTCATTGAGCATAAACATCTTATTTTTGGAGGTGAAGGAGGACGCATGTGAAGCAAGGCGATGGATTTAGCGCAACCTTTGGAGAAATAGAGGGAAGGTATTATTCAGAATCGGCGGGGTATTATTGTTGTAATAAAATTAATAACAATAGAAATACAGCGTTATAAAGCATGGACAGATTTTAAGGCGTAAGGATTTTTTTTTGTTTGTGATACGAACTACACTGTATATGTCCGTTGTTGTCTGATTTATGTTAGAGGTTTTGAAATTAATATGTAACTAAAAGTCGAAAACTATTTTCTAAATATATACGTGTACTTTCCACATATATCATTACCTTATGTAGAGTAATAATAACAATTGATAAAGCAGAGGAAATATACACAGGATGGAAAAGGAAAACTTGAAATTTTTACTCTTATTATGCCTCTTTTTTCAGGACAGATAAGATATCACTTAGAACCGTTTACGCGTTTCCTTTTCTCCAACCATGACTACTCGGGTCTCGGGGCACGGACGAGACTGATAATCGAAGGGAGAATATTAAAAAAAAAGTTTGTCTTGCAAGTATACAAACTGCCATAGGAGGTACACAGAACATCGCCTAGCTAGGTATTAAAACAAAACATGTTAGCAATATATCTTTGAGGGTTAAAGTCTTGAATAATTCAGACCAAATGAAATTGTTTCATTCCCCCATCATGCCAAGATCACCAACAATTTCCACTGGGACACGGGTGACATAATTTGTTAGGGATCGTAGTTGTCGGATATTGTTCTTCCTGTGATGATGGTGTTCCATACTTCCCTTGGGAAATTTGCATTCTCTCAAACGTAACAAGAGAAATCTCATTTCAGAAGACATTGATCGATTTTTGATTGTCAATTTACGTTTCCAATTTGTTTCATAGATCACCCTTTAGTGGTTAAAACGTATCACAGGGTCCGGACGTGATAGAGGTTTGTTATTTTTATATCATTAGGTATTAGATGCCGGAAGATTCGTATTGCAGATGAGCTTAGAAATTGAAGGAAAGGGGTTTAGGATTGTATAGCCAAACTATGGAAATTTGGTCATCTATAATACTTGCTTCATTTGTCAAATGCCCACGATCTTAAAATCGCGTAAAGTTATCTCATTTGATGGAGT